GAGCGCTAAACGTTTTGTTGAGAATATCAAGTGAATATTAGAAAGACAATATGTAATGATATGTCGATGTATAGAAGGAAATAATTACATTTTCTTCGATTCATCTGAATCATGTCAAATAACTTCATTTATTCTCAATCACTTAATTTATGCAGATAATATCCACTGTTATTTTCTATTTATGAGACATTTATTGATAGATTCTCATTCTAATTACTTTACAATATTATAATCCAAACAAGCTATTCGCCGCCAGTGATCTTAATCTTAAAGTGATCTTAAAGTGAGCTCTTAACGCTTCGGAAAGTTTTAATAATCAATGAAAAAAAAAAAATTCAAAAGAGATATATAAAAAAAAAAAATGAACTTACAATCCAGTGCGGGACCAGTTGATGTTGGAAACGGGAGACCCAGTGCCCCAAACCCAGCCGTTGCCTCGCTTGGTGCCGCTAGTCCAGATGTAGGCTTGGCCCTCTGTGGGTCGAGGAAGCGTGGTGTTAGAGTCGAGGGAGGGAGGAAGGGGAGGGGAGGGAGGGGAGGGAGGGAGGGGAGGGAGGAGAGGGAGGGAGGGAGGGAGGGGAGGGAAGAGAGGGAGGAGAGGAGAGGAGAGGGAGGGAGGGAGGGAGGGAGGGAGAGGGAGGGAAGGGAGGAGGGGAGAGGAGAGGAGAGAGGGAGGGAAGGAAAGAGGAGGAGGGAGGGAGGGGGGAAAGGAATAAAGGGAGGGAGGGAGAAGATAGGAAGAGAGGGAGGAAGGGGAGAGGAAGAGGGAGAGATAGGTGAGAAAAAGAGGGAGGGAGGGAGGAGAGAGAAAAAGAGGGAGGAAGGGCGGAAGAATAGAATGATTGAAGGAAGGAGGAAGAGTTGGAGGATGGGAGTGGAGAGGGAGGGACGAAATGAAGCAAGGACGGACGAATAGATGGAAGGAGGGAGCGACGAAAGGAAGGAAGAGTAGAGAAATAGAGAGAGGAAGAGATAGATAACGAGAGAGTATGATAATATCCTACACTGAAGATACAAAGGGCGGGGTATATGTCGCAATGACACATAGTTTTGAATAATTATAACACAAAAAATTGAATTAAATCAACCATGAAAAAACATGTGATATAAATAGAGTTGAAATAAACCCTGAATACATTGACAGAAAAAAATGACAATGAAACTACAAAAAATACGATAACGAATACAATAGAATAAAACTCCTCACAACGAAAATAATAGAAAATCGAAGTTAATAAATACAAACGGAATATTAAAAGAATCTAGAAAATAAAACAGTTCCCCAAAGATCGTATGGGGAAGGGGAAGAAATAGGGGTATGGAGGAAAAGGTGGAAGGGGGAGAGGGAGGGGAAGAAGGAGGGGGTGGAGGAAAAGAGAGGAGGAGGGGGAAGTGGAAGGTCCTCTGCCTACCTCCGCCGATGACTCCGTTGATGAAGCTGCTCTCGCTTCCGTCTTCGATGCTGACCGGCCGCCATGAGCCTCCGAGGCCCCTGCAGTATCCCGTGGCGCCTCCGTGGGTGTACTTGCGGCCTCCGTCAACCCCAGGTAGTGGTATTGGCTTCCCCCGTGGTTGCCGTGCACAGCCTGGCGGGAGAAGGGCGAGGGTGTTATTCCGTGTTGTTATGGCTGTTATTCTGTGTTATGGCTGTTATTGTGTTGTTATGGCTGTTATTCTGTGTTGTTATGGCTGTTATTGTGTTGTTATACCTGTTATGGGTGTTATTCTGTGGTATGGCTGTGTGTTATGGGTGTTATTCTGTGTTATGGTATGGTGTTGTTATTGTTATTCCTGTGTTGTTATGGGTGTTTTCTGTGTATGCTGTTATTCCGTGTTTGTTAGGATGTTATTTCTGTGTTATGGCTGTTATTTTGTGTTGTTATGGCTGTTATTCCGTGTTGTTATGGGTGTTATTCTGTGTTGTTTATGCTGTTTATTCTGTGTTGCTGTTTATGTGTTGTTATGTGTTATTCTGTGTTGCTATGTGCTGTTATTCTGTGTTGTCTGTGTTGTATATTCTGTGTTGTTAATGCCTGTTCTGTGTTGTTATGCTGTTATCTGTGATTGGTTATGCTGTTATTCTGTGTTGTTATGCCTGTTAATTCTGTTTGTTATGCCTGTTATTCCTGTGTTGTTATGTGTTATCTTTTATGTGTAATGTTACTGTCTGTGTTGTTATGGGTGTTACTCTGTGTTGTTATGGCTGTTATTGCGTGGTTGTAATGAATCTCGTTTGAGTTTCGATGGTGATTTTACTGTTGTGACATGTTTGTGATGATCCTGTTTGCTGTATTTATTATTCCGTGTCGGTGTATGTTGTTATGGCTGTTGTAGATTTGTGAATGTAGTATTTTATTACTGTATGTATGTGTGTTTGCGTAACTTACAGTATACGGATTGCATGTGCACACAAGTCAGCTGGCTTTGCATAATGAGCATGCGAGATGTAGTTTTGAAATCCTCTGAACATGTTATATATCTCATGTACTGAGTACTTCAT